TGTCGTACCTGAAGATAGAGGAAACCTTCTTTTTATAGGCTGCCAGCCAGGGGGCATGGTCCCAGCTCCTTTCTCCACTGGGAGCCGGTGTCAGAGACAAGCTGCCCTCACCCAGTCAAGGCCCCCTGTGCACACCAGGGAGGTGGAGACCTGTCAGCACCTTCCTTATACACTGCCTCCGTGGTCCTTGGCAGTCTGAACAGTGGCTCTCAGAAGCTTCCCAAGGCACAGACCAAGGCTAAGGAAGGCAGTGATTCGCTCTGTGGAGTTGGGACCCGGGGTGCAGCTGGGAACAGGGGAGCGTGCAGCTGGGTTCCTGGCCTGTCCCTGCCCCAGCCCAGGCTGCCCTGTACAAGGACTTTGGTCTCAGCAGAGCATTGGGGACACCCCTGGAGCTGCAGGCCAGGTTCCTGCTGCCCTTCCTCTGCTCTCTCTCTCTTTCAGGTACCCGGACCAGAATCACCACGCACTGGGAATAGCCAGCCTTGGCCTCTGTTTTACAGGCCAAGCCATCCCTGCCTCGTCATTGAGCCCACCAGCCCTTTCCATAGGCCCTTCCCAGGGTACTCTCTCTCATGCCGTCCTCAGCCCTGACCTGCCACGACTCCTGCACCCTGCCCAGGGCACCTCTCAAGTTCACCGGCCGCCTGCCCCATGCATGCCAGCCCCCGTTTTCTGCCATGGCTGCGCCTGACCCCCACAGGACAGCACCTCCCTCCTCACCCACCTGAAAGGGTCACAGGTCACTGCACCTCAGCACTGTAGGGGCACAACCTGGCCTCACTTGGAGGATCCGCTCTTTCCAGAAGTGTCAATTTGCCTGTATTAGCATCCTCTGATTTGGACTGGTAATTTCTGAGCCCGAGTCTTCACATTCTTATTGCTCCAAATCCTCCCAGGGGACAGAAATGGAAAAGTCAGGATCACAGTTATAACAGAGTCAGGACACACCCATGGCCCTTCATACCTGGTGGCCTGTTACTGCAGGCCTGAGTTAGATCTTTGTGCTGGAACCTAAAGGAAGGAGAGATAAAGGTCAGGAAGGGTCCCCTGCCACCCCCTGCCAATGCCCAGACCTCCTGAGCCACACCCTACCACACAGTGGACTGTCTGAGGGGCGGGACCTCAGTCATGCGGAGGTCAAATCCTGATCCCTCCCTGTCATTGGCTTTGAAGCTTGGACTTCAGTTTCCTTATTCAAAATGGAGAACAGATAACAGGACTCACTTCTCTGGGCTGGTGGACCAGTTAGGCGAGTTCATGCATGGAGTGACGGGTGGCACAGAGCCTGTGAATCCCTTCCCTGTGGCCATAATTAACATCTTTATTGCTAGCTCCTCAGTAGGGAAGGGCCGGCTTAGGAAAGACTTGCAGTCCCCAGAGGAGCCACATGAGGGCACCCTGGAGCAGCTCTGGGATAACCTGCTTACCCGTTATGGCAGGGTGCTCTGAGCCTTCCACACCCTGCTGGGGGCTTGGGGTTGGAAGGTGCCAGGTCAGTGTCCTGCTGGTCAGCAACCTGGCCCTCAATTTTTAATACCTTTCCTAGAGATGGACCTGGACTGTGGGACGCTGGAAAGGGGAAAACCTTATGTCAAGAGCCAGCTGGACCTCAGAGGCCGCAGATGGGATCACTGGCCAGAAATGCTGAATGGGAGGGGGCTGGGTACAGGCTCTCTCACACTGCTTGAGATGCCCTCCCCAGGGCTCTGGAGTGTTGCTTCCTCCTTGCCTGCCTCTAGGCAATGGTGTTCCCTCCTTTGTAAACTTGGACACAAGAACGTGGGAGGGCATGCGCTCTGAATCCATGGCAGGAAGCTTCTAGTATCCCCACTCAGGTAGGCAGTTTATACTCTAACTTTGCCCACACTTTGAGACCCTTTAACAGTGGGTTTCTCCAGCTCCCAAGCAGAGTAGCTACCCCAGCAGGAGGCATGCTGGGAATTCTCACTGCCTGGGGTAAGGTGTGGGTTCTGATCCTCTGAGAGAGTGGAATCTAAAAGGAGGTTGGGGATTCCATCGGGTGCTGGCTCATGGGGAAACACCCACTTTGCTGGGTTCAGTTCCCAGCTGCACCAAAGGGAGCTTGGCAGGGGTAAGAGTGGAGGAGAGCTGTAACAGGAGTGTCTTACCCGTCTAGGTGGCCAGCCAGGTTCCAGAGTCTATCCTGGATGGGGATGGGTGGGAATCAAGGGACCCATTTCTGTCTCCCACTCCATCTTCAGGCCTTAGCTGGGGGTTTAATCCAAGAGCAGAGTCTGTGACCAAGCCCTTTGCTGGCCCTTGTTCCAGGGCAAGGGCCTGTCTCTGTGTGAGAGACCCCAGGGAGGGCAATAGTAGAGACGGCCTGATGGCCTGCTGAGCACTACTTACAATGGCATGTTTGGGTTCAGCTTCCTGGAATATGCATGAAGTCTCAGTTCTATGGACGCAGCTTACGGAGGTTTTCCCTGTCACAAGGCCCAAGGCAGGGTGGGGGCCTCAGTGTCAGCCAGCCTTGCCCCAGTTGCGGACCCAAGGGTGGGAAGCCTTCCCATGAGGCTTTTCTGCTGCCACCACAAGGTAAGGTTCTTAGGGCCCTAAGCCAGATGTGGGAGCTCCCTCTGCTCCTCCTACCCAGGGATACTAGAGCAGCTGGACCATCCTGCCCGGCCTCTCTCCCGGCCTGGAGCCTGGAGGCTGCCCAGGGAGTGTGCAGAATTAAATTCCAGAACTGTGCTGGAGCACACGGGTGTGTATATGAGTGTGTGTGTGTGTGTGTGTGTGTGTGTGTGTGTGTGTGTGTGTGTATGTGTGTTCCGTGTGTCTCAGGCTGTGTGTAGCTGGGTGTGTCTGACCTTATCCTTGCTGGAGGAGGTGTCTGTTCTAATCAGAGTTGGTGGAACACGTGAGATCACCTCCCTGAGCCAGGCCTTGTCCAAACAGCCTTCCTTCCATGCTCAGCCTACACACAAGGCCACCTGGTCAGGAAGCACAGTCTTTTTGGTGTAGACACGCACCCGCCTTCAAGTCCCGCCCACTGAGGTCCTAGGGGAGGCCGTATGTTCTCCTACCCAAGGTCGAGAGAGAAGGGTGTCTCCAGCAAAGAGGAGAAGCTGGACACCCAAGGCCGGGCCAGGTGACCTGGGGAAAGTGAGTGTAGCAGGGTAGAGGGATAGGAAGTGGGCCTCCTCTATGGCCATGTCACCCCGACTTCAGGCTCAGGGCTGGGTCCCACTGGTGTGTCCAGTAGATAGGTGACCTTCCATTCCCTATTCTCTTTTAAAGGCCCCAGCTCCTGCCAACATCTCTCATCCCACCTGCCGGGCTCTTGCCATTCTTGGGGTGCCATGAGCTCGCTCTTATACCCGGCCCTTCTCCTGCACACCCATTACCCATGATCCTTTGCTAGGTTTCTGCTAAACACTTCCCCGTAGGATTCCCTGACCACCTGCCCTGCCCTCCTGACCTTAGGACCCTGCAGCAGCCTGGGTCCTCGGGCGACTGCACAGGGCCCTGTTAGAGCCCTGGTAGTGGCTACCATGTCGTGATCCCCCACCAGCAGGTGTTGGGATTGGCACCAGGTGCTGGTGAGCTGGAGATAGTCAACTTCAGCACAAGCTGGCAGAAGCCTGGCGGCACATGTGCAAATGCCTGCCTCACGTACATAGACACATCTATGCATATGAGGCACATGTATGTGCATGTGTACATGCTCACATGGGAGCGCATACCCACATTGTCACATACACACTCCATATGCCCACTACCAAACAGCTATACACACATGCCCACCCACCTGCCCACAAATTCTCATACATGCAGTGGGCTTATTCGCTGCTATTATGATCTCAAGGACAAGAGAATCAAGTTGTTGTTGTTGTTTTTTTTTCTCCTCACACATGTTCCCACAATAAAGAGAACAGGAAGGGACTTGGGGCCAAGGACAGGAAGGGGAAGTGGCCTGGACACAGGAGCTGATACTGGGCTGTCCCTCTGGGTGGGGCGGCTCCAGGGAAGGAGGCAGGAGGCTCCCTGTGGCACCTCGGCAGCCCCTGCCACTGTCCTGCCGGGGACTGCCACCTCTTTCCTTTGCCCCTGCTAGCTCACATTCCTGGAACGGATGTCGTAGCCAGACAACTCTTTCAGGAAGAGCATGAAAGCATCCCGGGTCTCTGTGATTGAGTTCATTCCCTGATCCTCCCCCTGTACCCCCTTTGCTTGGACCTGCTTCACTTCCTGTGTGTCCCACAACTGGAAGGACCCCAGATCCCAGGGGTTCAGGAAGCATAACACTGGGGGAATGCCCCCGGGAGCCCTGGTCCTACACTAGAACTGCCCACTGCCCTTTGGGAACCAGGAGAGGACTCAGTTGAATCTTAGTCAAGCATACAGCAAGCACATACTAAGTGCTTGGAGCAATGTGTTCTCTCAACCGTGTGTTTCCTGTGTGAGCACAGGAGTCACCTCACTTCCCCTGTAGGGAGCTCCCTCAGTTCACATAGCTCCCCAACATGTGGAGAGCTGAGTGCACCCTGTGCGTGTCCAGAGTGTGGGTGCTCTTGGCTAAACAAAGGCAAGGCTTCCTATGCCTTGGAGACAGACAGCCTGGCTCCAGATCCCGGTTACACCCCTAGAAGGCTGGTTTCCCTTCAGGGTCACTTAACCCTGCCTGTGACATGGACCTGATGTGGCTGTCTGGAAAGCAGAAGGAAGCGACAAGTGTGGCCATGCTCTGCATGCCTCCTGGTACCAGCATGCACTCGCTGGCAGCATCCCTTGATAGTCTCTTACACTAAATGCCCATAAATGGTCCTGGCTCAGTAGGTGGGACCAACCACCAGGAGGGAGGGGATAGGCATTCCATAGTCTCCAGAGCTGGGGTTCTGGGGGCTGATCCAGCATCCAGGGGTGCAGCGGCTTCTCAGGGAACATTCCGGGGCTGCTGAGGAGAGGCCCCAGGCAAGGGAGGGCAGTGCCTAGAATTATCCACCAATCGCACAGGTTCCTGGCACCGGGAGCACGCTCTTATCTGCCCAGCCCAACATGGGGGGGTGGCCAGGCTGGCTGAGGCAGGACACTGCCTAGGGGCTGGACACAGAGCAGTCCCAAGCCGGGCTGGGTGGGTGACGGCTGTGGAGGGCTCTGAGTGTCCCTGCAGGCTGGTGGCCAGCTGGCCGCCCATCTCCCCCACCATGTCGGACGGCGAGGGCCCCTCAGCTGGTGAGTGGCAGTTGCTATATTTACCGGCCATGGCTCCGGTTGCAAAGGCAAGGCCTCCGGTCACCAAGGGCACCCGGCCCCCCACAGGCAGCAGGCAGCAGTGAGGTGGGGACCCCCTCCTCCTCGCTTGACACTTGGGAGCTGCAGCCCAGCGTGGGCAGTTTGAGTTCCAGAGCTCAGTTCTGACCGCGCCCCCGATTTCCTAGCAGGCTTTAGCAGGAAGCTGTGTCTATAACAAATTCTCAGGCTGTCAGCCCGGAGAAGGGGCAGCGCTGACCACAGGGTGCAGGAATCAAACTGGGGGCTGGGCTTCCAAGTGGGTGCAGGGTGCATGGCCTCTGACACCATATGCAAGAGAAGGCATGGAACCATGAACCTGGGGTGGTTCACAGGGCCTGGGAGGTTTCCTGGGGCCCTGAGCCCACTGGGATGTCCTGAGCCCCTCCACCGGCTCCAGATCAGCTTGCTGAGACCTCCAAACCCTCTGGACTGGAGGTGGCTAGGGAGACAGGTGAGAGGAGATGCAGTCAGATTCTGGGTCCTGCCCACATGCCCAGACATGTGGTGGGGATTGGCTGTCTCGAATAGTGGGCAGGCTGTGATGTTTTCCTTGAACTAGCCTGGGGCAGGGTGGGTGCAGAGGACAGGATGATCAGTGTTTACTGTGGAGCTCTGGAGTAATCGGTCCAGGCCCCGATCTACAGGTTGTGTGACATCGATCATGTGGTTTGATTTCTCTGAGTTTCAGTGTCTGTGGGTGACAATGGGAATGTGGTTTCACAGTGGGTGAAAATTATGATAATGTACGAAAGTGTCTGCTGGTGCCCGGTATGTCGTAAGTGCAGTGGCTCCTTTGAGACAGGGTAAGAGGGGACTGAGGACAGGTGTTCAGAGGTACACACGGCCTGGGCATCTCCCTGCAGCGGTGTCCTTGGTAAGACACGGCTCAGTTCTGGCCCATAGAGTCTTGATCCTAAAACCTCGCCTTGGTGATTCTTGGGCTTTCACAGGCATGCCACGCTGTCCCGGGAGGCACTGTGACATCTGATGGACAGTCTGGGCCTGGCTCTGGGTGTGCATGTGTGTCGGGAGGGAGACATGGACAAAAGCAGCCTGACCTCGCCTGCTTCCATTGGGCGCCAGCAGAGCTGGCTGCCAAGCATTGCTTCTCCGGCTGTGGAGGCCACCGGTGCCTGGGGGGCAGCCAACATCAGTCTCTGGCTGGCCAGGCCCCACACCTGACACAAACCCGGAATAGCTCTCTCCCTGCACCCGGGACACAGCCCTCATTTTAGCAGTTTGTAAAGCCACCCGTAGGTAGAGTATTTCAGGAAGGCTAAGACAATTTTTAGCCTGCCAGGGCAATGGCGTGGTACTGAGTGCGCATGTGTGTTGAGCCTGGGGTCCAGAGTGTCCTCTCGGTCTCTTCCCTGACTGGGAGAGAGGCATTGGGCTGGGAGGCTGGGGCTGGGGTCACTACTAGTTCATTTTGTCCTGGCTCAGCAGAGGCCCTGGGCAAGCTCCGAGCATCATTTTCCTGGTTGTAAAACACAACGCAGTGGTCTTTGTCCTCCATATATGAGTTTGACCTAGACTCTTGTTTGAGAACCTAAACATGCCCTGCTAAGGAGGCTGAGGCAGGAGGATTTAAAGTTTGAGGCCAGCCTCAGCTACAAAGAGAGGCCCTGTCTCAAACAAACAAACAAAAACCCACAAAGCAACAAAAAACAAAAGAGACACCTTCCCCCTAAACAACAGCAAGCCAAACTAGACAGTGGGGGCAGGGTAGCCGGATCTGGCCAGGAAAGTCTCCTGACATTCAGGTTTCTCCAGGACTCCTGCCTCCGGCAACAGACCCAGGAAGCTGCCGTGGAATCTCCCTGTTGTCCCTAACCAGTCTCAGGGACCGTGACAACAGTGTCAACATTCTTGAGACCTGCGAGCCCTTGGGTGTTGCTCTATAGTTCATCTCTTCGTGGGGGGGGGGCAGTGAAGGGGTTCTCCCCTTCATGCTGCAGTAAGAATCAAGGAACCCCAAACATGTAGCACCATTAAAATGATGCCAGTGCAGGTCAGCAATGTGAGGGGCTGTCTCGTCAATAACTAAGATGCCGTGCAGAGAAGGAAGCGAAGAAGGGACTTAGTCCTGGCCATTTTGGATAGGCTATTGACTGCCTGGAGGTGCATGACATCAACTCCACTGTACAGCTAAGAAAACTGAAGTCCAGGGGGCAGATGGCATGCCCAAGGCCATCCATCCCACTGCTGCAGCGTTCAGCAGAGACCAGAACCAAGCTCACCCCATTTTCTTTACTCAGTACCCAGGTTAGGTCCTCATTCCAGGAGTCTCTGCCTTCAGCAACACCCCTTTATTCAGAGATAGCTAGAGCTCAACACTGCCTCCAATTATCTGGAGCCTGTAAAAAAATATGTGGTACCTTGTTAGGGCATCCGAGAGCAGAGCGCAGCGGGTGGTACAGACTGCGATCTATGGCCCTGTGCCTGGGCGGGCGAGCCTGGAGGAGGCTAAGGTTACCCAGGAGTCAGCACTGTATTTATAGCAGGAACGGCCGGCCCGCTGAAGACACGGCCTTTTCAGTGCCTGCATTTTCGACTAGACTCTCCCTGGGTGCAGGGGTGACTTGGATGCATCACGTGATCTGACAAAAGTCTTAGTTTCAACATTGGTAAAATGAGGGCTTGCCCCATCCCTCACTGGGTCTGTGTTTAGCACCTTCTGGACACCCCAGCTCTGAAGGGACTTATTCCACACATCCCAACATTCCTGTGTTGACCTTACCACATCCAGTCCCTTCCAATAGGAAGGAGCAGCCCGGCCTCCGGCTGCCAGTTTCTCCTGGTTTAGGAAGGGAAATGACGTGTGCAGTCAACTCTGAGCCTTAAGAACAGCCTGCTGCCTTATCAGATAGCAGTGAATGCAGTCAGACCAGCTCAGGGTTCGAATCCCTGCTCTACCACTCACTGGCTCTGTGGCCCTGAGCAACTCATTTACTTGATGGGTGAACATTTGTCCTACTGGAGAGCATGGTATGTGTGTGTGTGTGTGTGTGTGTGTGTGTGTGTGTGTGTGTGTGTGTGTAACCATAACTGAGTATGGGGTGGTGGTGAAAGTGAGTGCATGGTAAGGGGCATAACTGAGTATATGGCGGTGGGGGACTGAAACTGAGAATGTGGTGGAGGAGAGGAAACTGAGTCTATGACGGTGGGGTTGGGGCATAACTGAGTATGCGTCTGATTGCTGAGTGACCTTCTGTTTCTTCCTGTGTCACTTCTGCCAATTCCATTGCGGTCAACCCGCTCTTACCTTGAGAAACGGCTGCTAGGGTTTCTCTGTCTGGCAGTCCTGGAACTTGCTTTGTAGACCAGGCTGGCCTTGAACAGAGCTCTGCCTGCCTCGGTCTCCCTCTTAATACTGTCATTGAGGGAGGGTTGCTCTCCCATAAACATCAACTCACTTCACACTCCTTTGCCAGGAGACTCAGCTAAGAGGGCCCCTGACATCCCCACCGGCCCCCCAGGTACTCGGCTCTTGAAGTACCTGGTTCTCTGCGTCAATTCAGAGGCATTTTCCCAAGCCACTGGGGGAACCATCCATAGTTCACTTGGTTGTCCAGGCACATGGGAGTCCCGGCTTCTTCCTCCCAAGGCCTCATGTTGGGTCCCTCAGCAGGTACCAAGGGAGCCCCACCCCCTCTTCTTACCCCGGCCAACCCCAGCTCTTCAGTGTCTCCCTGGAAGCTGCCCCCAATCCACACTGTCCCAGACTCTGCCCGGTACGGCTGTGCAGACCTCCGAGGAGAGGCCTGACAGCCTTCCCTGCCCTGGATTCGGGGTAGGCCAACACTGTGAAAAGGGCAGAGAGGACCCAGGAGTGACCCTGGAACACAGGGGAGGCCTCTGAGATGATCTCAGGCCCCTGGCTCCAGGAAGGGACTGAGCTAGCCTGGGTCACTCTGGCGGTCTGAGCCAGGCTCTCTGCCCTGTGCCTCTCAAGGCTCACCAGCCATGCTAGCGCCAGGAGAGCAAGAGGGGTGATGTCAGCTCAGTGTCCAAAAGGCGGCCTGGGTTCTGTCCTCCTCTATGCCCACTGACTGGCTGATTGGAAGCCCACTTCAGAGCCTTGTATGCGTCTCTGGAGGAGGTGAACCCAAGCACTGTCCATCTGCTTCCTGTGACGGTGACAGTACCCGAGACCATCACCTCACAAGGAGGAAAGGGTCACTTTGCCTTCCCTGTAGGATTGCAGTGCGTGGTCACTTGGCACTGTGGCTCTGGGCCAGTGGCAGGCGGGACATTGTGGTGGGAACGCATGATGGCAGAGCGGCTTACCTCACGGTAGCCAGGAAGCTGAGGGGGAGAAAGGAGGGAAGAGGGTCCTAATAAACTTCCTCCTACTGGGCCCCATTTCCTGCTGATAGTGCCCCTTTAACACATGGGCCTCTAAGACACGGTCAAGATCCAAACCGCAAAGCTCTCTGGGACACTGCTCTTGGAGGGGTCTCTGGGCCCTGAGGCTCTGCTCCGGGCTGCTTGCCCTTTGAGGTTGAGGGGTGTCTGACGTCCTCCTTCCTAGTCAAGTGACTGCATTCAGCCTTCAATCTATAGGTAGAAGGGAGCCAGTGAAGACTCTGGAGCCGGGCGGGGGGGTTGGGGTGGGGGTCGGCGCCTGGATTGTTGAGGTGCTGCGGACAGAGGCACTGGAGAAAGGCTATGGAGGTCAAGAGGTCGGGGAGGACCCAGCAGAATGTCTTAGTCTCACCTGTGAGGGGGAGGTGACACTGTGGCCTTGGGGTGTTGTGGGGAGTCTGTGAGATGATGCCTTTCAATGCCCTGTAAATGTGGAGTCCAGGAGAGGCAGGGGGCATGTGTGTGTATGAGTTTGGGTGTGTGCCATATGTGCACATGGTGATCAGGGGTGATCAGGGGACAGCTTGCAGCATGTGGGTCCCAGGGCTTATACTCAGTTCATCAGGCTTGGG